GTCGCTAAATTGAATGAGCGGCAAAAATCATCATGTTTCAGGGATGAGGACGCTCCGCCAGCGGCGCGATCGAGCCTCGTCCGATCCGATCTGATGCGATGCGATGCGATGCGATGCGATGCGATGCGATGCGATGCGATGCGATGCGATGCGATCCGCGCGAATATCGCGCACATCCTCGGAAGAGTCTGCCCGCCAGGAACGCCGGCAATTACGCGAAATAAGTGACAACGCTTCGGGTTACCCCAGCGACTCGGCCCCATGGCCGAATCCAGTTCCGACCCGCATCTCGCTCTTTTCAAGGAAGTTTGCATGGAGACTGCCCTCTCGCGTGTCCACATCCGGTTCCCCCCCTTTCCCCCGGCGAGGTGGACTCCTACGATCGCACGATCTTCAACCGCGTAATTGGCACCGGCGCGTTTCTCCAATCGACCGTCCGTCCGAAAATCGTGGAATCTTTCTTGGGGCCGAGGCGAGATCCGTCCCTTAATTCGCCTACTTTCTCGCTCGGCCTCTCGTTTCGCGATTTTCGCCGACCATTGATTCTCTCCCATTCGCGTTCTCCCACTTAAGTTGTACATCCGCTCGGACAAAAAAACGCGCTCGTCCGGTTCCGACGAGGTCGTCCCTCCCGCCGCCCGCGCGCTGCGGAAAACCTGGCCATCGATCTCCATTCGATCTATTCTCGTATCCAGTTCGCGGCGTACGATCGATATAAATAGATGGACGTAGTACTCGTTCGACGACTCGCGCGCATTTGTTCCGTGTCGATCGGCGGGACGGCGCAGGATTTGTCGAGCTTGACGGCGGAATCCTTCGTTCTTACCCGCGTTCAATCCCGCCGCGCACACGCCGAGCGTCACTCGAACGCGAGATCATTCATTTCCGCGTCGTGTCGCTTTATCCGCGATACCTCGGCCGATGGAGTATCGCGGACATAATCACGTACCGCGACTTGAACTTGTTTGCGGAATCGATAAGCCACGTGCGAGGACAACCATGTCCGCCGCTGGAAATCGATCTAATGGTGCTATCGTCACTCCGAATATCTCCACTTAACGTAAAAAGTAAGATATAAAGAGGACATCGAGATGATTATTTTATAATGGCTAAAAAAGTACGGTAAATATAAATCGAGAAGTAAACTTTGAATCGATTTTAAATTACTTATATTAATTTTAAATTATTCTATCTCACATTAATAATCATCCGATCGCCTTAGCTTTGTTAGAATTTAAAGCTGAGACTCTTACTCGAGAGCGTTTTAACGGAGCGTTTCTCCTTTCAAACTTTTTATCCCGTATACGTTACAATTTAGGCATTTTTTTCCGCGATAGAAATTATCTCCCGATAAAGGTAAAGGGAACATTATTACACGGTGCAGGCGCGAGAAAAATATGCGTTACAAAGTGACGACGCGTAGATAGCCTGGAGGCCACCGGTGAGGAGGACGGGGAGGGGAGGAAAAGGGAGAGAGCGCGATCCTATCGGAAGTAAAGGATGATCCTGGTTCACACAATCGTGGATCACAATGGTGATCGTCTACGCCTACGAAGTCCTCGATCCCGCCACGGATCCTCTGGCGCTCAGGCCAGGGGTGAATTTATTCCGCGGCGAGATCCTTCTGCGGGATATACGGCGATATACTATCGCCATGCCGGTAATATTCGGTCTGTTCCGGTAGTGATACCGGCAGTGATATCGGTGGATCATGCACATTTGCGACGATAAGCACCGGGCGACCGCGACGCGATCTCGAAGCAATTGCTTCCAGGAGCTAACTATCGTCGCCCAATAATAAGATTTTATCGGGACGCGTATTGATAGCTTCAAAGTATCTAAGATCGAATTAATATAAATCATCAGCATTATATAATATATCGAGATATGAACGATTGTTAATATTTGCGTTACACATTTCGTAAGACGAGCCATATAAATTTTAAGAGAACAACGCAGAACAAAGATAATACGAATCTTATTCTAGAGTGACAATTATGTGCGTTAGAAAAAAATTTTTTTATACTTTTCTTTTATTCATTTTTTTTTCTATATCTACCTATTTCCGTTTTTTCTATTCTCTTTAAATCTTTGTCGAATCGTGTTAGGAGTTCCGTATCCCATTCTCGATCGGCGAAGGCGAAAGAGTACCTACGGGACGCGAGTAAACCGTAGAAAGAAGATGGAGGTGGAACAATTTTAACACGAGAATGGGCCCCTTAGGCCAAGGTGATCGAAAGCGATATATACGAAAGGAGTAACGACTGTGTCGTTAGTGGTATACAATGTATTTAGAGCGTCTGGAAGGTAACTAACAAAAAGAGTAACAAATTTCTTGGCCGACTCTCCTGTTCAAGAACATGCGGCACATCGCCTCGATATAGATCGATAGTTTCGTCAGGAACGAAGACGGAGACAATTTAAAAAAAATAATAATAAATTCCCACGTAACTCGTATAGTATGTAAGATTTCTGAGATGCTACTTTTATAAGTCGTATATAAGACAAAAAATGTAATTTAATTTAATTTGAAAATATGTCGTACATTTCGCTCGCGTAAAGAATAATTTAGGAAAAATTATAATTTAAAAATTCTAGAAAGAGGCACTTTTCTATGTTGAGAAAAAAAAAATAAATTCCTCAATATTACGATACAGATATCGAAAAATTTTAGCAATAAACAAAGTTCCGTATCTTTCTCGTAGATGTTTCTTGTTTTTTCGAGAAACATTCCGGAAAGAAGCTCGGCGTTGTAAACTGTATAAATAAACCCTCGCTCGTAAATTTCCGCAGAGTTATTCCGAAAGGTGTTCTCGGTCCGCGGAACGACGTTGGCCGGCGGGTGCTGCGTGCCGTCCGCAGGAACGCAACGCGGCAATCGATGTGGGTTCAACGGTTTCGTTAACCTCCCGGCGAAAACGAAAGTCACCGTGTACGGCAACGTCAGAGAGACACAGCAGCAACATTAGCAAGCGGCGCTGCATCGCGATGCTCGGGACGGAGTCTCGCTGGAGGAGGTCGACAGCATGGCGCGCGACCTCGATCGAGGACACTCGCCCGGCGAGAATCGCGGATATCCTCTCGGGCTTTCTCGTTACATCAAAACGCATTATGATGCAAAACGCACGGCGCGTAACGTCGCGCGTGCCAAAAAGCGCATTACGATGCGCCCCAAAACGCGTCATTGGTAATTATGGTAAACGACGTACCTTCAGCCGGGAAAACCTTTTGCGGTCTCGCTGAAATGTCACACCTGAGTGAACCACAAACGTGATTTACGCATGATCGTACGGCCAAGTGTCTCGAATGTATCCCGCAATTTCTGATATTTCGTCTAAACGCGGAAAGTGCGGTTTGCCCGAGTAACCGTTCTATAAAACGACGAAAATATTAGAAACCGCGGGTTGCACTTTTACGGCACATAGCCGTTCGATTTACGTTACAAATCGGCGCATGCATTCGTGTGCCGCGATTGTTTTCGTTAAACGTTTTTCAAGCAAACGAGCGAAACAATTTTCGACGCACGCATTCCGCAATT